CTGTTTTGACTGCTACATCATCGTGGGTCCCAGTTGAATTGAATTGCAGGATGAAAGGAAGCATCAGTTATTCCTGGTGAGGAAGTGGTGGTATGGTATATTCTTCTATCTAAAGGTATCTAAAGGAGACATGAGATTGCTTTCGGTCAGGGATACTGCAGTTGCATCATATATTGTATATTGCTGGGGGTGGGTTAGTTGATTTCTCCCCTTCAGCCTGAATGCCAAGTTAGAAACAAAAGTAAGGCTGTGCTTCCTAGGGATTAAGGCATATAAACTCAGTCTGACTGGCTTCTGAGAAAGGGCCTTTGCAGACTGCCAGAAATAGTGCACATTAAATTGAGGCACTGTCCTAGCTCAGTGCTAGGGATTCATGGGAATTGTATTTTTTTGGGGGGGAGACATTGAGCCTTCTCTGTCAGAGAGCTCTGGTGCCACAATAAATTACAGTTCCCATGATTCCCTAGCACTGAGCCAGGGCAGTGCCTCAATTTAATGTGCACTATTTCTAGCAGTCTGCAAAGGCCCTAAGTCTCCTTAAGATCATGTTCCTAAATGTGGTCACTAATGTCATTCATTTATTGAATACTTATCCCATCAAGAGCCTCAAGGCAGCATACAATGTTCTTTCTTTCTACCCCTGTTTTACCTTCACATCTGGGAGAACAGAAACCCTTTGTTATGAAACTTTCTCTGGCCTGTGGAGCTGTTTCCACAGTTCAACATGTTGCTTGTGATCTATAAAGCCCTATAGTAGGTGGAACCAAAAAAGCTGTTTCACTCAATAGAAGATTGCCTGACTCCTTTCTTCCTGCCCCACCACCCTCTTCCTTGGTATTGCTCCCAAGCTGTGGAACTCCTTTCCAAAGGAGCTAGGCCAAAATTCTTTCTGCTGTCCTAGGCTGCATTTGCACTGCAGAAATAATGCAGTTTGACACCACTTTAATTGGCTCAATGCTATGGAATTCTGGGATTTGAGATTTTGTGAGATATTTAGCACTCTTATGGCAGAGAGGTCCAGTGCCACAACGATCGACAAATCCCAGGCTTCCAATGCAATGAGCCCTGGAAGTTAAAGCTGTGTTGAACTGCATTGTTTCTGCAGTTCAAATGCAGCCCAGACATTTTTATTCACCCAAGCTTTTGGCCATTAACTGACTGATACAGAATAATGTTTTAAAGGAGGTGATAAATTTCTCCGTTCCTTTTTTGTGCTATTTTCAAAATATTTTCAAAATGTTTTAACTCAGTACATTTAGGGCCTTTACAGACTGCTAGAAATAGTGCAAATTGAGTCCACTTTAACTGCCCTGGCTCAGTGCTAGGGAATCACGGGAATTGTATTTTTTTTCTGAGACATTGAGCCTTCTCTGTCAGAGAGCTCTGGTGCCACAGTAAACTACAGTTCCCATGATTCCGTAGCACTGAGTCAGGGCAGTTAAAGTGGACTCAATTTGCACTATTTCTGGCAGTCTGCAAAGGCCCATCGTTTTAACAAGATAGGTTAATTGTTTCTAATTTCTTATGATGAATTCAGGTTGTAAAATAATTTAATTTTGTAAGCTGCCTTGATGTCTGTGCTGGAAGAATATAAATAAAATTAAAGGTTAAGCTAGGGGATAGTAAATGACCCTAGAGACCTAATTGAACTTCATGGTTCAATAAATCTAGGCTATCTGCTTGTGAGCAGCCAGATAGGATTGTTTTGAGAATAAAAGTGGGGTGAGATAGGATGTAAACTGTTTGGAGTTCTTGAAAGCAAAGGTTGAATTATAAATTGTTCTTGTTGGCTGCCCTCGAGTTGACATCAACTTATGGTGACCCTGTGGAGGAGACATCTTCAGGGCCCCCCGTCCTCCTCTGCTCTGGTCTTGTAAATTCAGGTTTGTGACCTCCATGATTCAGTCAATCCACCTGGCTTGCGGTCTTCCTCTCTTTCTGCTGCCTTGTACCTTCCCTAACATTATTGTCTTTCCCAGTGATTCATGCCTTCTCATAATGTGGCCAAAGTATGACAGTCTCAATTTAATCATCTTGGCATCTATTCCTATTAAGTTTAGTGAGACACATTGCCAAGTACGGTACGTTTAGGAGGGTGCAATTGCAATTTTAACCAGTTTCTTTTGCAGGCCCCATCATTCAACGTTGGGGCAGAACTGAAAATAGAAACATGGCCTAACTTCCCTGGAAACTGAATTAGACCAGTGTAAATAGCCAGCCCTAATTCACTTCTTCCCTGCCCCCTCCAACCCTCTACTTTTGTCTTTCAGCCATGGCCACATCCAATTCCCTTCTCTGGGCAGTTGATATCTTTGGCCGAGTCTACACACTTTCAACCACTGGCCAGTACTGGGAACTCTGTAAAGATGGAGAACTTGAGTTTAAGCGGGTCTCTGCTGTCAAACAGTGCTGCTGGGGAATCGCTTGCGACCATCAGGTTTACGTTTATGTCCACTCCAATGATGTGCGAATCCGCTACCAGGAGGAGACTTATGAGAATCAGGTATGTAACAAAGTTGTATACATTTTGGATTAAGTCTGCACTGGAAGCCAAAGATCAGGCTGGTAATTTCATATCAATACGGTATAAGCAAACAAAAGACTAATCCATTTATTGGGTCATAAGGTTTTCATGGATTTCAGTCTACTTCATCAGATGATTTATTTATTGATCTGAACCATTGGTTGCCTACCCTTCAGCCAAAAAAGCTCCTAAAATGACTTACAAAGATACTTAGCTTACAAAAGAATATTAAAATATGACACACAAAAGGTAAGGGATAGAAGGGAAGAAGGAAAAAAGGTCAGTTCAATCCGTTGTTATTTCTTTTCCACCTTTTCCCAATATTGAGACACAAGCAGGCTTATATAGAAAGGAGAACAGATTAAAAATGCTCTAAATGTACAAAAGCAAAATTGTTGGCTGAGGTGCTTGCAGAAGGAAACTATATTGGGGGGGTGGCATTAAGTATGCCTAATGCTCAGAGCCAGCGTTTGTCAGAATGTAGTGTACTCTGTAATGTAATTGTTGTGGTGGTAGTTATAATGTGTAGCATATTTAATGTTTGAGGTGCAGAAAAAAGTTATGAAGATGTTATAGGTTTATTGTGAAATGATGAGAGTGGTGGGACCATGAGAGTGATAGGAGAGTACTTAGCAGTGGCTCAAAATAATGTTTGCAGCCTGACACAGGATTGTGCAGATATGGAGGAGGAAACATCTTAGAGCCTGTTGGTGGGAAACAGAGATGACAACCGGCTGGGAGTGGGGAGTGGGCAAATAAAGGGAGTGTGGAAGAAAAGGTTGGTATGGTGAATTTTATGCCAGTGTTGGGGAATTAATGCCACTGCTGTCTGCATATGTCTTCCTTTTAACATCCAGGGTTTTTCTAGAATAAAGTTTTACTGTTTGCAGCACAGAAGACTTCTTCACTGAACTTCTTGACAGTATAATGTTGGGGTTTGAGTGTTGGACTACAAATTGCAATTCTGTCCACTCCCTACAAAGCAGAGAATGGCTGTGCAGGAGGGCTCAGAAGCTTTAGTGAGACAGGAAAGTAGTATATGGCTTAGGCTACCATAGGGCCACATGTGGACCTTCTAAGTAGTACAGGAGTGTAGCTGTAGTCTAGCCATTAGTCTCTCTAATCCACAACACAGCACTTTCAGTGTCTCAAGTTCATCCAGCCTAGATCTCCTCCAGTAATCAAGAAATAATGTCTGCTATTATTTTGAACTGTCTGAATTGGATTCATCCGCCACACAGCAGTTCATAAATATTGGCTTGGCTCCTAAGCATAAATGTCTAAATCCTTTGTTTCTCATTGATGATACAGTGGGCCCTTGGTATCTGCTGGGGTTTGGTTCCAGGACCCACCATGGGAATAAAAATCCGTGGATGCTCAAGTCCCATTATATACAGGCATGGTAAAATGGTACCCCTTATATAAAATGGCAAAATCGTGGTTTGTTTTTTGGATTTTTTTTATTTTTTTAATATTTTTAAGCCATGGATGGTTGACTCTGTAGCTGCAGAATACAGAGGGCTGACTGTACATGTCATGTTTTGCCAATAAAATGTATATAAGTGGGCTCAATAGATGATAATGTTATCCTGTAAACTCAAAGCAACTGTCATATATCTCAAGGGATTTAACTGCAATGCAAAACTGGTGATAAATGTTTTCATTATTAATATTATTTCTATCCCCATTTTTTCCCCCAAAACTGGGATTCAAGATAGTTGTATATCTCTTCTGGTCAGCGAATTTGTTGAACTTATTATCTTACAGCTCTAAAATATACTGTAGGCCAGATGCCTTAGACCAGTGGGTTCTAACTTTTGGTCCTCCAGATATTTTGGACTTCAGTTCCCATAATTTCTGACTTTTTGCCAAATTGGCTGGGATTTCTGGGATCTGATGTCCTAAACAAATGGAGGACCAAAGGTTGGGAATCACTGCCTTAGAACTATTGTAAGGTGATGTGTGATCCTTTCCTTGTTCCTTTTCCACCAGCGCTGGAACCCCGTGATCGGTTTCTGTGAGAAGTTACTGCCCAGTGACCGCTGGCAGTGGAGCGACGTGAGTGGGTTGAAGCATCAGAAACTGGAAAGCTTTGTGTTGCCATCACCTCACTGGGAGTGGGAGTCAGACTGGTATGTGGATGAAAACTTTGGAGGGGACCCTACAGAGAAAGGGGTAGGTGAACAGTATTGCAAGGGGATGTTAAGGGGGAGGGATTGCTTGTTTATAGAGTCATACTTGCTACCAAGGAGGGTGGAGAAAGAGTAGGACAGATGGGGGCTGTAGTTTGAGAGCTGGTATTATGAAATAATTTACTTTTATTTTATTTTTTATTTTTATTTTATTTATATCATATCTTCCTCCCAACATGGGACTCAAGACAGCTTGCAGCAAGGCTAAAATAAAGGCTAAAACCTGATAATTAAACAAGCTAAAACACAATTAAACAAGCTGTATATTAAAACATTAACGAAGAGCCAGCATTGCATAGTGGTTTGAGTATTGGACTAGGACTCTGGTGACCAGGGTTCGATTCCCTATTCAGCATGAAACCCACTGGGTGACCTTGGGCAAATCACATGCTCTCAACTTCAGGGGAAGGCAATAGCAAACCACATCTGAACAAACCTTGCAAAGAAAACCCTGTGATACACCTTAGGATTGCCACAAGTTAGAAATCACTTGAAGGCACACAAGAACAAGATATTAAAACATTAATTTTAAAAGTATAATACCATTTGAAAACATTAAAGGTAAAAATACAGTACAAGCACACACCCAGAAAAAGACCTTCTTCACAACCAATCAATTATCAAATACTTTTTTAAACATAAAGGTTTTTACCTGCTGGTGAAAAGGGAACAGAGAAGAGCCACCTGAGACTCCCATGGAAAGGAATTTCACAACCTGGGAGCATCCAAAAGAAAAGGCCCTCTTATGTATCCTCTCCAGATGGGTAATGGTGGGGACCAAGAGAAAACCTTCCCCAAAGGATTATAAGACTTGGGCAGGTTGATATAAGGACATACTTTCTTTTTTTATTGTCTTGACCTAGCATAAAGAGACAGCTGTTATCCAAGAGGTTTTTGTCTGGGATGATGGATGCAGCAGTTCAGTACAGTTGGAGGGTGCTGGATTGGGAAGAGATTGTACCAGTATATTATCATCAATTAGATTGTGGCAGCATCTCTCATTCCAGTGTCATCACAAGCACCTCCTTTTACTTTTCTTGTCATTTCAAGTCTTGTAATCTAGATTTTTATTTTTTCTTAGACTCTTCTGTCCCTTAAGAGGTCATGCACTCTTCTTTCTTGACTTGGCAATAGAGTACACATCGGATTAATTCCTGGTTAATCTGTTTAAGCGCTACAGCTGTGTGTATGCATGTGCCTTTAAGTCGCCTGGTGACTTACAGTAACCCCATGAATTCCATTGGGTTAAATAATAATCTAGATTACAGGATTTGAAATGACAAGTAAAGTAATAGGAGGTGCTTGTGATGACACTGGAATAAGTGATGCTGACAAAATCCAGTTGGTGATAACAATCTCTTCCCAATCCAGCATCCTCCAGTTGTATTGAACTGTTGCACCCATCATCCTCCACAAAAACTCTTGGACAACAGCTGTCTCCTTAGGCTAAGTCAAGACAATAAAAAAAGAAAGTATGTCCCTGTACTCAGAGGTGACTAACAGAGAGTATCTCTCTTCTGACTAGTCTTTATTTTGAATGGCTTGGGGAATTAGGTAGAATTCAAAGATATAACTGTGATAGTCTGTAGAATCAGTATGTAGAGAGATCTTGTAGCATCTTTGAAACTAACTGAAGGATTATAGCAAGGGGCGGGGGCAAAATGAGGACATTGCCTCTGCAAATTATGATTCTGTCCTACAGAAATTGCCTTTTAGTCCCTAAATTATAGCACAACAGTAACATCAAATGACAGTGTTTAGGTTTCCAAAGAAAAGGGGCAGGCATGTGAACATAACAAATACAAGAGTTCTAAGGGTGAGTGGTTGTTAAGGTCTCACTCTCTCTGCAGTGCTAGAAATCCAGTTTCAATGGTAGGAACAGTGCCTTCATTTTGCCTCCTCTGTAACTGCCTCCCATAGCTTGCAATTACAGAAGCTAAAGAGAATGACAAAAAAGGGAATGTGGCCAATCTCCCTCTGACCCATATCAGAGCATAGCTTCATTCAGGCAGTTCTACATCCTCCCCCACCTCCCACCCCAAAAGCAGTTCCCAAGGCTTGGAAGACATTTCACCTTCTCTGTCAGAGAGCTCTCGTTCCACAAAAAACTACAATTCCCAGAATTCCATAGCACTGAGCCATTGCAAATTAAAGTAGTGTTAAACTGGATTATTTATGCAGTATGAGTGCAGTCCATGAAGTATCAGCTAGACTTAGATTCTCGTGTTTGGGGGGGGAGCTAATAAAGAAACACTCCCAGGTGAAATGCATCTTCCTTTTCCTTCCCCAGGAGCCCACTGTACCTGTATATTCATGGTCTAAATTGCTCCCCCTAACCCTCCTCCACTTCTCACCAGTAAAAAGAAGTAGCATCCCCTCCCAGACCATGCCAGTTGCCAGTGGGAGGGTTTTGAGACAAGGGCAAGGTAATAGCCTCTTTGCCATTATGCTAGATCTCCATCTCCTCCAGATCTCCTCCAAGGTTTCTTTTAAAAATACCTCTCTCCCTACAGTAAAGTCATCATGGACACTTACCTCTCTGAGAAAGGGTGTATAACTTTCCATTCTCTTACCTGGCTTTTTTCAACCTTTTTACCCTGGACGAATCCGTGAAGCAATTTTCAGGTCTTGGGGAACCGCTGCATCAAAATGACTATATCTACATTTCAAAAACGTTGATGTTTTTGTTCAGTCGCAATTTCTTGTGGAATCCCAAACAACTGTTCACAGAAGCCTAGGAATCCAGGGATCCCTGGTTGAGAAACCCTGCTCTAATCTGTGCTGAGAGGAATCAAATGCCTAGCTTGCTTCTCTTTGCATCTGACAACTTGCAGAGGGGCTGAGCGCTTGCTAGGTCTTTGAATGTTTGGATCTTAGAGGGGAAAAAAGGATATTTTCTGCCTTTGACACCTTTCAAATTTATATTTTAAGGGCTGGACATATGCCATAGACTTCCCAGCTACTTACACCAAGGACAAACGATGGAATTCCTGCGTGAGACGCCGAAGGTGGATTCGATACAGGAGATACAAGTCACGCGACTCATGGGCAAAGGTGTCTGTCTCTCTTTTCTCTATCTCCCCCAATTTTCTTAAATATGCAGTGTTGACTCAAGTCCTGAATGGAGATAAACTTGTGAATGCCTTTCAACAAGGCCTTTTTCAGTGATGGCACCCTAGTTGTGGAGTGTTTTCTCCCACTATGCGCAGCAGGCTGTAGTGTAGTTATCTTTTCAGTGCCATATAATGAAAATGATTTCAATCTTCTAAGTGATATTTCTTATTTGGTTCTTTTTCATTTTGCCCCATTGGGATTCAGATTGCGAGGGAGGTTAATTGAAATGGTATTGGGGAATTTTCTGCATATTTTCCTGAGTTACCTTTCATGTTTGGGCTGTAAGGCTATCTAGAAATCTGAATATAATGTGACTGCTCACAGTTCAGTGTAGGAATAAGTGTATGCGATGCTTGGCAAGTTTGGTGGTAACTGACAGCGATAGGCAATGCTGATGGAAGAGTGATGCCAAAGTTTTATTTCTTTCCTCTACAGATTCCATCCAAAGAAGACCCCAAGCAACTGCCAGATCCTTTCAGTGATCTCTCTGTTGGAGGATGGGAGATTACAGATGAGCCTGTGGGACGGTTATCAGTTTGGGCTGTCTCTTTGCAAGGAAAGGTATGGAGATAAATATTCATTATATTCATCATTCTAAAAGAAAATATACCAAAATCATTTGATTTTTTTCAATTTTTCCAGGAAATAAAGGCAGAGGGGAACAGAAAAAAGTGGAGGTTTTTTTTCTGAATTTTGCAGGGTTTTTCCCCTGGGTCTTGTCATTTCCTGAAAGGTAGTGCATCTTGTAGGTGAATATTCTTACTGATAACTTGATTTTTTGTGGAGGGTATGATATGTTTGTGTGTGTGTGTCCTTTTACAAATGTCAGCTTCTCCCAATAACCCTAAGATCTCTCTCTCTTTCTCTCTCATTTTTGGTGGTCTTGGTTAAGCTCTAATTCTGTTGGCACACCTCTCCTGGGTTTGCTGTTACAAGGAGTGATAGCCAGCATAAGGGAACCAATCAGTACCAGTTACAAAGCCAGTGCAGTGGTTCTTAAGTGAGACTGAGACTGAAGAGATCAAGGTTCTGCTCCCTCTTCAGCAATGACATTCATTGGATGATCTTGGACCAGTTGCTCTCTCTTTCTCAGCCTGGCCTACCCCACAGTGTAATGATTGTAAGATTAAAGTAGTGAGGAGGAAATTCATATTGATCGCCTTGAGCTCACTGGTGAAAAGGCAGGATATATATGTCACAAATAAAGCAAAAGGTAACATAAAAGGTTACCTGAACCATGTACTATGTACAGTACTGAACTATTTGTGTTCCCCCATATACCTGCTTTAATTCTTTACCAGTAGCAATTTTTGAAGGGCCCCTTCTCTTCTCCTACCTCCAGATCTGGTACAGAGAAGATGTCTGCTACCACAATCCAGAAGGTTCTTCCTGGACATTAGTAGCCACTCCTGGTGAAGCTGTGCAAATCAGCTGCGGCCCATATGATCTCGTCTGGGCGACCCTTTGGGAAGGCCAGGCTATTGTGAGGCATGGCATTGACCGAAACAACCCCCATGGCAAGTCCAGCTTTTGGTCTCAGAAGAGTATCTCTTGTTCTTATGTGGAGCATAATAAGGATTTAAATTGTTCATTTGTTACTTCTAACAGGACTTTCTTGGACAGTTGTGGAATCTCCAGTCCAAGATAACGGAATCTTACACATCTCTGTGGGTGTGAATGTGGTGTGGGCAGTTACCAAAGACAGAAAGGTAAGTGGATTTGATCTACAGTTTGCAGTATGTCTTTACTTGGCACAAGGCCAGCCGTAACAAGTGGCAGATGGCTGGAGAGCAGCAGTGGCAAAACCTTCCTCCCCCTTTTCCATCCTTGGAGGACAGTGCTGTATGCATCTTGAGGTGGCCTAATGCTCCCAAGAAATGGTGGAGGACTCTATCCCATCACCTTTGTTGAAATAAGATTCAGCTGCTAAAAGTGGAATACAGGGGGACACTGTCTTGTACTTTGCTTGAATTAGTACTCATTGTGTTTTAAATCTGCTTGAAAGCGGGAGGGGGGGATTAAAGGATTTTATTATTGCCATTGACCACCCCCGTGACCTGGGCAACATCTCTTTCCATCTTATTCTGTCCTTTACAACATGACTTTTTCAAGTCTTTCTAAATCTTTATTAAATTTGAAATAGAATATAGAGAGGAAAAAACAGCAGTAAGAGCTTCATTCTATCCAGTGGAAGTGTGAAACTCCTTGTCATGAGGTGGAATGGGCACCAGTTTAAATATCTTATATGAACAATGAATGGAGGATCCTGTGAAGTTACATGCCTTTGGTGGGGGATTTATTAGATAAATAAAGTAATATGTTTGTGTATGTAAAGTGTAGTAGATATAATAAGGTAAGGATATTTCAGGAGGGAATTTTTAAAAGGCTGGTGTATGACAGTCAATATTAGGAATTAGTGAGGTTCAGGAGTGTGAGTGGTTAGGAGAATTAGTCAAGGTCAATGATAAAGAAGCAAAGTCAGGCTTAGAGTGAGTTAGGATATCAAAGAGAAAGTGAAAGAGGTGTGTTAGTGTTCGTCAAGATTTAAATGTATTAAATAAGTAATCTGCAATACTCAATTTCTGTTCAATAAATCATTGTTTTTGTATTAAACTCTTAACCTTCAGAGAATGCTGCATATTGGAAAGCTTGAGTTCAGACCTGGTGTCTGTGATGGCAGCAGTTTAGACAGTGTTGTTGTGCCTAATTGCAAAATAATAATGCATAAATAACAGAATAGTAGAATTAGATTTGAAAGGGATTTTTATGGTTTCTAGGCTGGTCCCTTGCTCAGTTCCTAAATAGTGATCTGACAGAGTGAGTTGTATGGCATATAAAGAAGTATGAAGATTGCTGCTGTGAATAAATTTATTTCAGTTGTGGAATTTTGAGGTAGCTTTACTGGAAGAGCTCAGTGCTGATCTTGGTTTATCTTCTGTCACAGGTCTGGTTCAGAAGAGGTGTTAACTCGCATAATCCCTGTGGCACTAGCTGGATCGAGATGGTTGGTGAAATGATGATGGTGAATGTGGGCTTGAATGACCAGGTGAGGCTTCTTTCAGAAGAGTAAGGGTGACAGTAGACTGGGGCAGGAGATTGGAAGAGATGAAAGGACAAAGCCTACAGGAAATGTAGAAAGGGCTCATATAATCCACTGTCCTTTAACTGAATAGTATGAGCATAGAATTTAGGACATTGAGTTCTGGTGACACTGAACCATGAAGTCTCAGGGTGACCTTGGAGCACTTTCCTCTTTCTCTTTTACTCTTCACAATTATATCACTCAGAAACCACTTTAACTACTATGTTTGCATCCTATAGAGTCTTGGGTGAGGCAGTAAAATTCTCTTGCAGAAAATTCTAAATGTCACTCCCTAAATTGCAAATCCCATGACTATATATAGTAGGGATCTGTGGGAGTTAAGGTGGAATCAAAGTGTAGTTGTAGAGTGTAAAAGAGACCTTCAAAAGTTGCTTTGTGGTTACATTATTGAAAAAAACATCTGGATGCTTAGAAGTTATGGACCTGACGTACAAAATGCACACTACTCTCATCCAAATTATCATCACCACGAATATGCAATAGCACTTGAGCCATATGCAAGTGTTTCTTCACCATTTAGTGATGTAGCACTCTGATAATTGTCAAAATAACTAAAAAATTATACTGCTCAAAGGGGTGAGGTTATCCCTCAGCAACTGATCATAATAAAACATAGTTACACCTTAGTTACTGCTAAGAGGAATCACTTACTAGTAACTAGTTGTCCTTTCTGTCGCTCTATCTCCAGGTCTGGGGCATCAGCTGTGAGGACCGAGCCGTTTATTTCCGTCAGGGTGTCACGCCAAGTGAGCTAAGTGGGAAGACGTGGAAAGTGATTGCTTGCAGCCGAGACAGTGACCGATCTCAGACTGGCAGCTCAACAAGTCTTCTGAGGTAGCTATAACCCCAAGAAAGCAACCGAAAAGTTTAGAAAGAGGAAAACGGTTTCTGAAATGGAATGTTACTGGAGTGCCTTAAACCTTTCAGACCAGAGGACTCTGTGGTAAAAACCATAGAGAAGCCAGCCTACAGGTGGCAGAAAGGTGATTGTATTTGTGGGGTTATGGAATAGATATAATGTTAGAATGGGTTTGAGAGATTGAGGTCCATGATCCATGAGTGCTGCTTACTCTTTAAGGGATTTTTTAAAAATTGATCTCTTTTATATATGAAATTGGTTTTGCTTTCTTTGGTTTTATCATTGTTAGCCACCCTAAGTGCCACTTACTGGAAGCAAAGCAGTAAATAAATAATTCCACACTAAATCATGAACTTACAAATCTCATAGCCCAGCTTTCTTTGCAGGGTTGTGAGCTGAAGGGGGGGGCAGAAGAGCCAGGGATTCCGTCCTGAGCTTATTGAAGGAGACATGGGGGCTGTACATGATAACTAATAATATACATCTCTAGAGCCGTTTGTGTAGTGGTTTGAGTATTGAACTAGGACTCTGGAAGACCAGGGTTTGTATCTCTGCCTAGCCAGGGAAACCCATTGAGTGATCTTGGCTAAACCCCACACACTCAGCCTTAAGAGAAAGGTAATGGCAAATTCCTTTGAACAAATCTTTCCAAGAAAACCCTGTGACAGGTTTGCCTTATGGTCAACATAAGTCAGGGTTGCTTTGAACAACAACAGTAAATGTTTATTCAGAAGATCTTTGTCTTCCTTTGCCCATCTTCTCAAAAGTGCTGGCTGCTTCTTCACGGATGACATCAAAGAACAAGCAATTTCCATGGTCCAGACAGATGGAGATCATCCCTCTGATACTGAAGCACCTTTGGCTCTAGAGGAAGCTGCATCTGGGGATAACAGTAATAGTGAAGCCCCCCAGGTAGCAAATTCAGGTGAAGATGCCATGGTGTGTCCCATCATCTCTCCTCTCGACGAAACTGCTTCCACTTTGGAGAGAAGACTCAAAGGTGTCCCAGAAAAACCCATTTTCGATCCAGAGTCTCATCCTGCTGAACTGCAGTGGACTAACATTGACCTCAAAGAGGCAAACAAGCTCCCTGCAGTATCTGCCAGCACCTTTGCTGAAACGTCCAGCCTGTCCTCCTTTGGGGCATTATCAGTTGGCATGGAGGATCATTTTGTGACTGATGAGCATCCATTGTGGGCCTGGGTCTCTGGTGGAGCCTGCCTGGTCGATTCACACAGCCTTCTGAAGTGGTTTACAGTACAGTCAGGTATGTAAGATTTTCATTAGTTTTATATACACGGAGCAGGGGAGGGCACTTGAAAAAGTTGCTGTTGGGGAGTACAACTCCCAGATATCCTAACCAGGATTGCCATTGCTCCTACTAATTGCGAAATTGTGGGAGTTGCATTTCCAAACAGCAACTTTTCCAATTGCTGTTTTCCAGGCTCTAGGAAGATGTTTGCATTTCCCTTTCTGTCCTGCTTTTCCCCTTCTCAGACTTTTGGCATCCAGATTAAGAGTACTGGCTTGGATAATAGTGGAAGGAACGTAGAAAGCCTTATACCAAGTCAAATCATTGGTTAATCTAAGGCTGCTGCCACATGCAAAATTAATGTAGGTTGACATTGTTTTAACTGTCCTGGCTCCATGCTATGGAATCCTGGGATTTGTAGTTTGCCATGGTGCGAGAGCTCTCTGACAGAGAAGGCTAAATGTCTCACAAAACTTCAAATCTCAGAATTCTGTAGCATTGAACCATGGCAGTTAAAGTGGTATCAAACTGCATTAATTCTGCAGTGTGGATGCAGCCTGTCAATATTGTCTACACTGATTGAGTGCACCTTTCCAGGTCTGATCCAGAGAATTTTTATGCTACCTATTTTTTTGATACTTAAAAAAAATGGGTTTGCTAGGGCATGAACCCCAAATGCAAAACAAATGCCCACCCACTAAGCTACTGTATATCCCATTATGTATTGATAAGCAAATTGGATGTCCTCTGTTATCTAATGGTTGATCACCAACTCCTCCTTTCTATTATAGCCTTGTCCTCTTCTGCACAGTCCCTCTCCCTGTCCATCACCCCAGCACAGACTGCCGTGTGGCGGAAACAGATCTTTCAGCAACTCTCAGAAAGGACCCAGAGGGAATTGGAGAATTTCCGACACTATGAACAGGCTGTTGAACAGGTAAAGTGGAGCGGCTGCTGTCTCTTTTATGGGTAGGGACTAAACTCCAAAAGTAACAAATTTTGAGGTATTCTGAAGATCCTCGGAGACAGGTTAATCAGAGGTGAGGGGTAGAAATTTTTCCATGCAATGAAAACACTTTCTGGAAAAATTTTCCAATACTGTGGGGGTTTGTGGAAAATTTCTCACATTGCTTGTGTGTGCTTATCCATATTTGTCAGGATTTGTTCTACTGCAATCTGAAATGTTTAATGGGCAGATGTAATCATGCCATGATGAGTCACCTTTCCAAGTGTTGTTCATTGTGCTTTTTTGCCTTTCAGTCTGTTTGGGTTAAAACGGGCACTTTGCAGTGGTGGAGAAACTGGAAGCCTTACAAATGGGTGGATGTGCGGGTGGCCCTGGAGCAGTTCACCAGCAACGATGGCACTCGGGATAGCATCCTCTTCATCTATTACATGCACTATGAGGAAAAGAAGGTAGGTGTACACAACCACAGTGACTGCATTTATGCATAATGCCAAACTACAGTTTAGCTGTGTGTGTTCAAAAGACCACCAAAGTGCAAGTCTCAAAGCTTTTCCCTATCCACCTCCTCCACAGATTAAATAACAAGTAAACACTTACTCTCTTCTGCTTTAGCAGAAGATGAGTGACCTCAGAGCCCCACCTTCAGATTTTTTTGGACTTAAACCAAACCCAGCCTCCTCATTATTGTTGTTGTCTGCCTGCTAGTCATTTCCAAGTTATATCAACCCTAAGGCAAACCTATCACGAGATTTTCAAGGCAGGATTTGTTCAAGGAGGGTTGCTTTTACCTTCATCTGAGGCAGACTTGCCCAAACTTCCCAGTGGGTTTCCATGGCCAAGCAGGGATTTGAACCCTGGTCTCAAGGGTCATAGTCTAATGCTGAAACCACAACACCACACTGGCTCTCATTTTTGTTGTGGCTGTGCCTTCAAGTCATTTCTGACTTATGGCAACCATAAGGTGAACCTGTCATGGTGTTTTCTTGCCAGAATTGATTCAGAGGGGGTTGGCTCTTGCCTTCCTCCAAAGCTGAGAGAGTAGGATTTACCCAAAGTCAGCCAATACATCACCATAGTTGAACAGGGATTTGAATCCTGATCTCCTAGTGTCCAAAGCTAAGACTCAAACCACTTCCTGTTTGCTTCCTGTTTTTTTTAAAAATCCTCTTCTGGGGATTCATTGGCCCAGGGTGGGGCCCTACAATGTGGTAGAAATGTCCCCCATACTCCGTAGAGGGCATTTTGGGGACAAAAATGTTTTTGGAAAACCTTTTGAAAATAATTTCTATCCAGAGTGGGGCTATGGGGCCTCCAAATGTGGTGCAAATGCCTTCCATGCCCCCTAGATGTCATTTGGGGACAGTTTGAAGTAAAATAATTTGATGACCCCAGGGGCTGCATGAACCCTGTGGGCTGCATTTTGCCCACCCTGATTGAATGGGTCTCCTTTAGTTGGAATTAATGATAGGATTTAGATTATGGGTTGATGGTTGTGCATATGTGTTTTTATGGTGTGTGCATATGTGTGTTTTTCTCAGTACATCCATGTGTTTCTCAACGAAGTTACCATCCTGGTTGAGATCCTGAATGAGGCCAAACATTCCTTCGCTTTGTATACACCAGAAAAAACAAAGCAGCGTTGGCCCATCCGACTAGCTGCTGCCACTGAACAAGAAATGCATGACTGGGTAAGTTCACAAACTGGTTACATTATTTAAAACAAAAATATCAATGATGCATTGAAATTAAGATACCAAAGACCTGATATTGGAGGCTTTGGGGGGTAAGTATGGTCTTATTTTTGATAACATGAGAAAAGAAGTCAAAAAAGTTGCTTGTTATTTTTTACTTTCTTCCTATGTGGGGCTTGGGAAAGTTTTAATTTTTTGTGGTTTACAGCTCCCTGAAACTAGTGGCAGTGTTGGACGAGGAATTTTGGGAGTTGTAATCTAAAAAAGTAACTTTTCAGGGGCCAGTTTTAAAACAATGGCTGTTTGTCTTTTGAAAATGCAAAAATAGAACTTTGGTCAGGTAATATTCCATCTGACCTCTAAAGTAGGTTTCCAGTACCTATAGTCAAGTCTCACTGAGAATCAGAGGCCTATAAGTATGTTTGGTGCCATGCTACTTTTGTATAGATCAGCACTCCTGTTTAAACGGAATGCCATCTAATAAGGCAATCCTGCATGGTTACCTTTTGTTTTATTTCTCAGTTTCTGCAAATACATTTAAACCAGATCTCCTTGAACTTCAGAAAAAATCCCAAGAGGATTCCTTTCAGGGAAACGTCACGTGTGAACTGCACAAAATGTTGCAGTGATAAATGCTCCTGTTCAAGGTTCCAGAGCATCCTGCCAACTTCTGATAAACTTGCTTCCCATTTATCCCTGCAGTGCATACTCGGCACTCTGTTGTTGTTGTTGTTATGTGCCTTCGGGTCATTTATGACTTATGACAACCCTAAGGTGAAACTATTACAGAGTTTTCTTGGCAGGATTTGTTCAGAGGGGGGTTGCCTTTGCCTTCCTCTGAGGCTTAGAGAGCATGACTTGACCAAGATCACCCAATGGATTTCCATGCAAGCAGGGATTCGAACCCTGGTCTTCAGAGTCATAGTCCATTTTTCCAACCACTACACCACACCGTCTCCCCAGCACTCTGTTGCCACTGAGAATGCCCAGTCTTCTTGAGACTGTTTCTGGCCACCCACCTTACAGGGCCAAATGTTGAAGAACCAAAAAAAGTCTTTGTACTTCTGCAAACCTTAGATTTCTATACTGCTGACACATCCCTCTTGTTCATGGCTAGTGCCTTTTTGGATACACAAGGGCTGCATCCGCACTGCAGAAATAATTCAGTATGACACCATTTTAACTGCCATGGCTCAATGCTGTGGAATTCTGGGAATTGTAGTTTGTTGCAACACCAAAGCACTCTAACAGAGAAGGCTAAAAGTCTCAAAACTACAGTTCCCAGAATTCTATAGCATTGAGCCATGGCAGTTAAAGTGATGTCAAACCAGATTATTTCTGCAGTGTGGATGAAGCCAAGGATCTTTTCCTGAGTAGACAACTGGACACCGAAAAAGTTGTGTCTGTTACACCCCAACTTCTCTCACAGTTATTTCAAATTTATTTGTTACTTGTTGTGCATTGTTGTTTTAAAGTATGTTTTAAACTATGATTGTTTAATTGTATTTTAGGGGGGTTGTTGGGAGACAGGAATGTATGTTTTTGTGTGTAAGCCGCCCCAGTTGTATTACACAGAGAGGCAGGATACAAATAAATATTATTATTAAGGATCTACACCCAACAAATGGGTTCACTGTTAACATGTAGAAGCTTTTCATTAGCTGCTTCCCTCCAGAAATGTTGGATTACCGTCCCATCAGCATCATCCCACATGGCCAGTGTTTGGGGATTTTTAGCTGGAGGATTCTAGGCTGGGAATCTGTGGTGTACAGTCACTCCTCTGTTTTCGTAGACTTGAAGTCTGCATCCCTCGCCCATTTGCGGGTGGCAAACGGAGGGGGACAAAATGGGGGGAGTGTCTGCAGCGGTCACCCATCACCATTCAAGGCCATGGGGCTTGAATATTTGCAGTTTTCCATTTTCATGGGAGATCTGAAACAGATCCCCGTGAAAACGGAGGGGGCGACTGTATAAGGATGACGAATGAATGCCCTTCTTAGATCTCATTTATACTTCCTAGGTAGTGGCAACTGTTGTAATGAACACTGGTGTTTTTTAAGCAATAAGAATATTCAGAGTTCTGCCTGTTCCCCATTACCAGAACTGCAGTTTGAACTGCTAACTGGGAGATTCTGGGAACTATAGTCCAAAAAAATGGAAACTTTCAGAGCTTGTCCTGTTGTGAAAATGTTGTTCCTTTTATGCCTCTCAGCTAGCTCTCCTGAGCATGTCTTGCTGTGAAAGCCGGCAGATCCAGGGCCCTCCCTCCCATCAGGCTATCTGGTCGTTGACCTGCAAAGGCGACATCTTCGTCAGTGAGCCAAGCCCTGACCTGGAAGCTGCTACGCACCCAATGCCATGTGACCAAATGTAAGCAATCTTTCATAGAGTCTCCTATCTGGATGGAATAGCCAGACTCAAAGATCTCTCTTTCCGTCCTGGAAAAGTTTAGCACATGATGGTGATTTTGACTGACAGGAGAAGATAGCAATAGCAGCTTCATTTATATACCACTTCATACCACACTATGCAGTCTCTAAGCGGTTTACAACTGTAAGCAAATTGCCCCCAACAAGCTGGATACTCATTTTAGCGACCTCGGAAGGATGCAAGGCTGAGTCGACCCTGAACCCCTGGCTGGTATCGAACTCACAACCTTGTGGTTTGTGAGTGAGTGGCTGCATTACAGGCATTTAAGCCCTGTGGCACCGGTGATGAGAGCCCACAGCCCTTTACTTCAGCATAGTGGTTCTTCCCAGCTCAGAAACTGAACCAAAGCACTATGATGTAGCATTATATCAGTGGAAAGAATAAAGGAGTTATAGGCTATGTCCTCACTGCAGAAATAATCCAGTTTGAAAGCACTTTAACTGCCATGAATCAGTGCTATGAAATTCTGGGAACTGTATTTTTTGTGCCACTAGAGCTCTCTGACAGAGAAGGCTAAATATCTCACAAAACTATAATTCCCAGAATTCCAGGGCATTGAGCCATGACAATTAAGCCATGTCAAATTGGATTATTTCTGCAGTGTGGAGGCAGCCATAGCCCTAAACATCTGTATGACAGCAAGTTGCGTACCTCTGGTGTTGGATTAGAACCAAAGGGTCCCTCATTAGGTTGATTTATTTTTTAAATTTTATTAGAATCAGAATTAGAAGAGGCCACAAGGGTCATCCAGTCCCTTGCCCCTGCCATGTCGGAAGGCACCATCAAAGCACACCTGTGACGAATGGCCATCGAGGCTCTGTTTAAATTACAGTGGTTATAAAATGATAAAATACTAATACTTTTATTCCACCATTCCTTCAGTGACCTCATGAGAGAATATGTGGCTCTTGTCCTTATTTTATTCTCACAACAGCCCTGCAGGGCAGGTTAGGCTGATGCAGAAAGTGACTGGCTCAAGGTCACTGAGCAAGTCTTATAGCTTAGTGGGGATTTCAACCTTGATCTCCTGTCCCAATCCAATGCTAGCTCTCATGTCTTCCCTGAACCCCAAGTCTCCCTTTCTATCCCAGCTTAGCCTCACAGATCATTGTAACAATGAAAACTTGAGAAACAAGACCCACGTGTGCACTCTCAAAAACCACCCAGAATAAAACATGATATGCAAGTTTATATGACCCATGCCTCTGTAGGTTCTGGCGCCAAATTGGTGGACACCTCCGCCTGATCGAAAGCAACAGCCGTGGCATAGTCTGGGGCATTGGGTATGACCGCACAGCCTGGGTTTATACTGGCGGATATGGAGGCAGCTTCTTCTCAGGTAAGAAATATTTCTTCTTCCAGATCTCCATGCAGCCAGGCCTCTTGAAGTTTATTGGCCAAGCTGTCTCTAGTCTGCTATAACCTCTTCCCTGCTTTCATTGTATCATTTACTCACATCAGTACAGAGATGGCAATTGTGATCTTTCAGTTGTTGTTTTTTTACTACAACTCTCATAATCCTTAACCAGCGGCTATGAAGGTTAGGACTAACAGGAGTTGTAGACCATAAAACAATCTGAAGAGGTACAGGTTCCCAATTCTTGCTTTTATTCTGCAAACAAGGGATGATCAGTTGCTCTAGGGTGGGAACCATCCCTGGCAGGCTACACCCCTATGGCTGCATCCGCACTGCAGAAATAATCTGGTCTCTGGTGCCACAACCAACTACAGTTCTCAGAGCACTGAGCCATGGCAGTTAAAGTGGTGTCAAACTGGATTATTTCTTCAGTGCAGATGCAGCCTTAGTCTCATGACCCAGAAGTGATGCCACATCAGTTCCAGTTTCATTTCTGGCTAAAAATTGGCCATTTTTCTGGGAGTGAGGAGGGAATGACAGGGCAAAACTAAGCAAACCACTACATTTTAAAGCTGTTGTATGGTGGTTTGGGCTATTTTAGGACAATTTTCACACATACGTCAACACTGAATGTGGGGTTTTTGTCTTGGGTATATTGGGAATCACAAAACGGTGTAGCAAGCCACAAGAAGGCACGTATGCCTGCCTTTTCCTACCTCTGCGGTAAACCACCCTGAAATTTAATCAAGGTTCCAATATCAATATTTTAAATAAGTAAACCATCAAGAAAATGGGATATGACCAAGAAACAGGGAGCAATTAATGGTTCTGGGTCTTGCAGGCTTGGCAAGCAGTGGTGATAACATTTACACACAGTCAGATGTGAAGTGTATCCATATTTATGAGAATCAGCGATGGAATCCTGTTACTGGATACAGCAGCAGGTGAGTGATTTTTGTTAATTGCCATCAAGTCAACCTCAGCTTATGAGTCTTGCAGAGTCAGGGCAGCCATGGCTTTCTTGGTTGACTCTATCCACCTGTAATGTATTCTGCCTCTTTTCCTACTGCCTCCCACCTTTCCAAGTATTATTTATCATTCTGAGACAGGTCATCTTATGGTTGTAGTTGTTATTAGCTACCTTCAAAGCCGATTCCAACTTATAGCGACTCCATGGATGAGACATCTCCAAGAATCCCTATCTTCTGTTGTTCTGCTCAGGTCCTGCAAGCACATAATCCCCCTGATTGAGTCCATCTGTCTGGTCTGTGGTCTTCCCTTTCTTCTACCTTTCCTGGCATTATTGTTTTTTCTAGTGATCCATGCTCTCTCATTATATGGCTAAAGTATGATACCCTCAACGTGATCATCTTGGCTTCCAAGGAGAGCTCTAGTCTGATATGTACAAGCACCCGTTAGTTTGTCTTTTTGGCCGTCCAGGGTATCCTAAGCACTCTTGTCCAGCACTACATCTTGAATGAGTTTATTTTCTTTCTGTCTGCTTCCTGTACTGTCCAGCTTTCACATCCATACATAGTGATTGGGAATACAGCCTGGACAATTCTTGCTTTGGTGCTAAATTGTATGTCTTTACTCTTCAAGATCACAAGTTGCTGTGGTGTAACACTAAGTTAAGCCCTACTCGGGTCTGGCAAATTCAGAGCTTAACTGAGTCCATCCACCTGTAATGAATGTGGTCTTCCTAGAATCATAGAATCATAGAGTTGGAAGAGACCACAAGGGCC